AAAAATTTGGATGACAGTAGTGATAATGAGTACGCAAATTCTGCCGAGATTGTTGCGTCATCGCTTCTACGACATTTTGCCGCACTGAGGAAGCCACGTTCAGCCAGCGATATCCAGTGGCTTGTTTCTTATGCGCAAGCACCTCAAATGGTTTCGTTTTCATGCCTTTCATGCCTTTTTTCGTGCCTTTTTTCCCGGTTAATTATAAGATGAGGGCTAAGACACATTCAATTAAGCTTACTAGTAGCTCGATTTTCCTCAGTCATTTTAGTTACCGGTTTTTTTTTCAGGCAATTTATGGGGAAGGCAGCTACTGACAGTTTTGTTAGCGAATAGTTGTGGGTGTAAATTATTGATTTTATAGTTTAAAGTATTGACTTCTTATGTACTTACCGCCAAAAAGCAGTAAAAATAATGGATATTTGTCAGTTCTTTAAATATGCGGGCTCTACGTCGGCGTCATTTTTGCCTTAGTGGATAGGGCCCCTCATTCTTTTGAGGTAAAAGACATGAAAATTTGAAAAAATGAATTTTTTTCTGCTGCTTGCATATTTTCTCTTAATTTTTTATTTTCTATTGTTTTAAGCTTCTACCAATGCCGGATGACATAGCGGTATATTTTGATGAGTTAGATCGCAACGGTCGACCTATATTCTTCCGTGGTTCGGACGATTGGGCACCTCCGCGAAAGCAGTGGATTTTCCAGCTTCATCCACGTTGCAAGAGGTTACACTTTTTTCGAAATACAAGTAGATTTTTTACTTTTTCTAAACTGTTCAATTTTTTTTTCGTTTCTCAACAAATACTGGTTTTTCCTACTTTTATATTTTTGCTGTAACTAAGAATGTAAAATTTGCAAAAAAGTGATATAAGGAATCTTTTTATTTTTTTAAAACACAGTTTTTCAAATTTTTTTATTTTTTCTTTTTTTAGTATTATTCAAAGTAACAAGAGTCGCGATAGGGTCGCGATACTTAGTTCGCCCCATTCATTCGCTCTTAAAGCTCCTAGCATCTGCTTTTATGCCACAATCAGCTTAAAAAGAATAAATCAAAAATTACAGCCCCCAATTTTTAGGTTTCACAAAATTTTTGCAGTGTTCCAAAGTTACTGGAGCAGCAGCAGTATCGTTGTGCTGGTTGTGGAATCAAAGTTGGCAAAATATACACACGGCGTATGCGTTATTGCGATTACTACGGCAAAATGTTTTGCCAGCGATGTCATCAGGGCGCTAAAATGCGCATCCCAGCTCGCATCGTTTATCAGTGGAACTTCAGGTTGAGTGAGATTTTTCTAATTTTGTGATATCAGGAATATCAAGATTGCCCAAAAGTGATCCCATGCCGATGATGTTACTGGGATGTTTCCATAAATTCGGACACAGCTATGCCAGGTCCGTCATCCCTGTGCTGCATGTCTAGAGTTAGTAGCCTACTATACAATCCGATGTAGATATGCCAC